CAGGATATCTGACCACTTCATGACTTCAGGAACACTTTAGTTGTAAATGATCCCAAATAACATGTCAATAACCGACCACATGAATGTGACTGTATCTATCTACAGGGTGGAAACCTCAAACCTCCAGAGACTCAGCCTCTGCCTGAAAACCAGCAACATGAGGTACACTGAAACCGTTCTAGTTCCACTTAATGTATTTAGACAAACACTGCAGATAAATTAAGCTACTATAAAGTTAGAATTTGCTACTTGCTACTGTGAGGTGGAAACAGGAAATGCTGAACATGATGCAAGAACTGAGCTATCTTGATGCATTTTTTGGGGAAGCAGAAGGTGCTGCAGCATCACCTCCTCGCTGACTGTTTGATCTGACTTTCTGCAGGTTGATCCAGATAATGGTGTTTTCTACGCCTCCATTAGCTACACCAAGACTCCTAACAGCAGCAGGGTAAACAGCTGGATTATTATTTACAATGCTTAAAAAAATGTTTTCATATGTTTTAGACCTTAACTTTTAATGTTGCAGTGGACCTTTTTGTTGTATGGCATGTGAAATGATTGTTTATGCAACCACCATGTGCACATTTATGAGGCTGCTGTTTAGTTCTCTAATCCATGCAGCCCTATATACACACATGTATTGACATTAATGTAAAAATTAGTTGGGCAGATATTCTGGAATGACTTTTAGCTTCACAAGTTGACTTTTAACAAGAAAAACTTATAATTCCAAAAAAAACAGAAAATTTGAGGACAGAAGTTGATTTAAAACAAGCTGAGAAAGTGTTTTCGAGGTATGATTGATCGACGTCTGATTCGGGGAGGGGCGGTCTAATGGTTAGGGCATAGGGCTTGGAATCCTGAGGTTGTGAGTTTGAAACCCAGTCCCAAAGACTGCCACTTTGGGTCTCTGAGCAAGACCCTTAACCACCAAACTCTCCCCAGTGAGCAGCCCACTGCTCCCCAAAGGGGATGGGTTAAATGCAGAGGTAAATTTCTCCAATGTGAGATCAATGAAGTTCAATTTATTTATTAAGATATGTGCAAACAACTTTAGAAGTGCAAGTTTTCATAGAACCTCCCCCCAGACTGAAATCTAATTAAGATGTTCAGGAAATATCTCGCCCCGCCCGCGGATCAGGTCGC